AATTCCCAATCCGGTTTTGCCCGGCAGTGTGTGCCGGAGTGACGCCTGCCGGCGTTTTTTCTTTTACGAATAATCCGCATCGTCGTACTGTACCAAACTGTACGCGCAGGATGTATGCGGTGATGGACCTGGGCTAAAAATCGGCCGGGGCATTTGTAAACACAGCGGGCCCCAAATTGCCGTGCGATCCCATTGGCCCATTTTGGCTGGGTCCAAAAAACAAATGGGGCCGGTGAGGAAGAATCTTTGGGGCTGCCAAATATGGGACTTTATACCAACTGAGAGCATAAATAAGCAATGAAGCATTACACATTAGAGGTAATAACATATTTTAACTAAAAAAAATTATACGTATAAAAATATATATATTCTCTTGCAAACATTATTTTAAAATAATCTCACATGACCACACTTGCAATTTTCCCACACAGACCGGCCCGCCGGCCCTCGGAATGGACCGGCCGACCAGGCATTTGCCTGGACTGCTGCCGTACGGCCATTCAGAGCCCAGGATGTTATGTATGCACGTATGGGCTTGCGATGTTTTTTCTGCGGTGGTGTCCCCACACAGTGGTGGGAGGGGGGGGAGGTTAGGTGGGGGGAATTGGGGGGAGGTTAGGTGGGGGGTGGTTAGGTGGTGGGTTTTGAAACCCATTAGCCCGGCGTGAGAAAGTCCTTTAACGATTCTCTCCGGGGCTCGCGTAATTGGGCACATTACGTGAGATGGTGGCGCCGTCTCATTTAATGCCATTCACTCTTCGACCGTTGCCCTAGGGTAATGGTTCACACGTTGGGCCTGCGGTCCGGAGGTCACTGGTTCCATCCCACCTCCTGGCACGGCAGTTGAAACATTGGGGCCAGTTTCTCAACTCCCCCTTCGCGCCGCCTCTGTCCGCCCGGCAGTACAAATGGGTGCAACGCGGCGAGTCGGTGGGCTGGTCGCGTGTGGTGGGGTGAAATGTGGGTAGTCCCACCTATTCCCAAGACGTTTTGACCAGCGTGGAAGAGTAGGCCACATACCTTCTCGAGAGTCCCACTTAAGCTTCCTCTACCGGAGGCCCTTTTGCTAGCAGTGATGTGTTTGAGCAAGCAATTGCAGGGCCACACCCATCACCTTCTGAAATAAGATACAATGAAATGTGATTTAAAAAAATATTTTTTGCGTAGACTATACAATTAAAACTCGAGGAGCTATTGATTAATGAATCCAGCTTAGAAGCATGCTCACCCACAAGGTTTTTACATTTTATTTTAAAGATTTTATTGTCAAGAGCATTCCAGGTATGACTTGGCGATAGAGTTACAGAGGCAGGGTGCCACGGTGGCGCGATGTTAACAACCTCGCCTGGTGTACAGGAGGTCGTGGGTTCGATCCCAACCCTGATGCCTGTATATCTGGAGTTTGCATGTTCTCCCCGGGGATTTTTCTCTGGGTCCTCCAGTTTTTCCGTCCGCATTTAGAATCAACATCAAGCGTTTCGAGCATTTGGCAGCTGTGAGTTTCCACGTGATCGGCCGCTTCTTTGCGCTGTCATTTGTCATAGCCAGTTCGCTTCTGAAAAAAGAGCTCTAGCTCAGTGGGGCTTCCATAAAAATAGAGAAATAAAAAGCCTTGTCCCTCCTGATTTTGGAAAACAAAAATTGAAGCTATAAAGAGTTCAGATTTATTGTAAATAATGTTGGTGTTTTCTGTTGTTGGTTGGCACATTCTCTTCCTGCAGATGTTCTCAAACTGACGCCCACTGCCGACGAGTCTTTCACTGTGGTCGTCCTTGTAACAGAGCTGGCTAGCTACCTCTTACGGGCCTTACCGGCTGATAGAAATACAGTTCTGAGCCATTCACTCATCTCAAAATGTGTGAGACTAGGACTAAAGGATCTTAAATGTCTTGTATAAGGTCACGCAAAACAGCCTGTAATGCTTGTTCCAACAACTACATTGTGCCAGGTCTCTTGGACCCAGGGCTCTGTCTGAGAATTGCATTCCCAGTTTAGAGGCGGTAACTGGGCTGTAATGATTACAAAGAGCCAAATTGCATTAAATTAGCACAATTAACTTGGCAATTTCCCCTTGTTATTGGCAATGGGAGACGTTGACAGGTCTTTGACAATGTAACGTGACTTGAAACGACGTTCATGAGAAAGGGAATTGGTTTTATTTTGCGGCTGTGATCACTGTAAACATGTTGAGAAAACGCATTACGGCTTTGTATTATTTCGGAAATGTGGCTATTCGTGGGATTCTCCCTGACCTTCCAGACCGTGCCCTATGGGCGATACACGTGTTACCTCGTTCTCAGGAACCACTTGCAGATCCGAAAGAAAGTTAACGAGTGTATCGGGGTGTTCACGGGAACAGCTTTAATGACAATTCGAACCACGGGAGAGCATTGACGCATCGCCGCCTACGTTGTGTAAATGTGCACGTGGGCAGGTCTGCTAGTCCAATTTAAAAAATCAAAGCGTAATGTACACAGGTAAACGCGTACAATGTTCACCGTTTCTCTGCGTCCATGTACCGCCTTTGTTGAATCTCAACAATTGGCAGTTTACTATTATAATGAGCCAAGAATGTCTGTGTCCCGTGCGTGACGCAACTCCACGTCGACCAGCCCCCCCTCATTAATAATCATGAGCAGGTGACGTCACTCCACATTGAACAGCCCCTCTCATTAATAATCATGAACAAGTGACGTCCTCCAAATGGACACCCCCCCCTCATTAATAATCATGAACAGGTGACGTCACTCCACATGGGGGGGCGAGGCGCCTCCTCCCCCCTCCTCGGCGTCAACTCACAACCCTCACCACAAAGACAGAACCCTCATGTCACGCGATCTCCGTAACGCTCTTGAGACATCGAAGTAAAAGGGACGTCATGATGAACAAGGGATTAGAACCTTTAAATTAAATAAGCCTTATGAATTGCACACGAATGGATGCAATGAATATATCACGTCGCGCTCTGCTTTTCGCTTGCAAGTTTCAGATTTACTGCAATACACCCGTCCTCGGACGGGCAAAAGACTTGTTATAATTATTAATCAAGGTACGGGTGGGCTAGAGTGGTGAAGGAAGCTGCAGCACAAAGCTGTTTGCTATTACAGACTCACCCTATGGAGAAGCAGACAAATTGTATATTGGTCCCCTAAAACAATGTGGTGGGGGGGCGACGTGGGAGTGGGAGGCACTCAAACCACACACATCAGAGCTGAGATGAATATTTTCAAAAATATGCAAACGTGCTTAGGCCTGGCAGCAACCTGTTGAAAATATGCCAATATATTTCGTGTTTTTCCGTGACAGCTGCCCATCTGCTTCCCACATTGCCAATCACACATTTAATTAAATACTTCCGAAGGCAAACGCACGTTGAAAAGTGCGATATATTTCCCCCCTCCCCCCCCACATCTTGCAAACACATGACATTTACTTTTTGACTCTGCTTCCTTGTCGGTGCCACGGCGAGCTTCTGCTGTTGCGGGTCACAGGAAAGCCAGGAAGAAGGGCAGGCGCGCGGCGATTCGGGCGCGTTCCGTACCTAACAACAGAGCCAGGGATTTGGCGAGCGTTTTAAATATTTAACGTCGTGCGGTTCCGGGGGGGGACGGTCGACCCGAGAGGGAGAGAGAGCTTGCGCCCTTATTGCCAAGGCTGAAAATGGCCCCCTTGTTTTCCTCTGTGCCGTAAATAAAACAAGGGCGTAGCCCGCCTTGCCGCCCGCCGCTCACCCCTGGCCAGCACACAGTGTCGGCTCGCAGACATGGACGACTTAATTAATGAAAGATCGCCCGACCGTTAAATGTTCACCACCTCCCCTCTAAATTTTGATTTAAAGCTTTCGTGACTGTAGGGATTCATATTCTTGGTTCTTTCGGTAAAGTCACGTAGAAGGGAAACAATAAAATAAGAAAAATATAAAACAATACAATTCTCACGACGTTTCGACTGCAACACAAGCAATCATCATCAGGTGTGAAAACCACAGCAAGAAAAAAAACCGCCACTTTTTTTTTCAAATTTTCTTGCTGTGGTTTTCACACCTGATGATGATTGCTTGTGTTGCAGTCGACACGTCGTGAGAATTGTATTGTTTTATATTTTTATTGTTTCAATTCTACGTGACTTTACCGAAAGAACCACAAATACATCTCCCCTCTCTCCGCTGTGTGTGGAATCAAATGCAGGACCTGCCGCCGTGTGCTTGGGGCATCCTCGGTTCACTGTCCTTTCATTTCCGAGTCCATTGAGACGAGGTTGAAAGTCCGTTCAGGCATAAGGGATAAACTAGAACTTGTGTTTTTGATTAAGTTCCAAAACACTGCCCCATCCCCATTGCTTGGCAATGGAGATGGGGTGTATTTTTTTTATCGTAGAACCGGGGTAACCCCACCGCAGCAGCGTGGTCAAGTATGGTCCAATGAACACCCACACCGTGTCGGCTGTGGGAGTCCTTCCTCCAGCAGTAGTTTGATAGAAGCGTTTGTAATCGTTATTATTTTAATGATATTCACTTAATGTCGAATTGACCTAAGGGGGTCCTTGGCCATGATGATGATTCACGGCACTGGATGCCACTGGACTGTTAAACAACGACTGCCACCATGCACCACCAAGTAGCGGTGAAATCGCCACGGCGCTTGTGCCAGGCTACGTGCACTTTGAGGCTATCACAAAGTGTGGGAGGCTCGCTGGAAGGAAGTGACAGGACAGGCCCAGGTGTCTGTCCTGTGACTGCACAGCCAACACCAGTGACGATTAGCTGAACTGGTCCTGGGCTTCCCCTAGGTCGAATCAGCCTCAAATGAGTACCTGGTTGCAGCATATAAAAACATTTCCACTGGGGAGACAAAGGCGGCCGGGCGTGGTGCTGCCCGCCCCACCCCTTCGTGTGCCGTGCCGGCCTCCATAGGTGCTGCTCGCAAACAGCACTCGCCCTAACGGTTTGTTAAAGCTATACGGGGGGGGATCTTTGTCTTTGTGTGTGCGTGCACGAGCAGGTATGTGCCTCCCCTGCTTTGGGGCAAGAGCGGGCACGTGCAGACCGTGCTGTACGGGAAGATGGGCCGCGTGAGCTGCCCGCAGCCGCATGGCCTCCGCAAGACGGTGCTCATGCCCGATGGGTCGTCCTCCACCTTCGACCTCTTCGAGGCGCTGGCTCCCCACTCCACCGGAGGTGAGCGCGAAAGTCGGAACGTACGCCGTGTCTTCCCCCCCCCCCCACCCCCCGCATGTAACAGCCAAATCCCGTAGCCCTGAAATGTCTTGCTCATGCCACTGCTGGTGGAAGGGGCTCTGCTGCAGGGAGCTCTCGAGAGCCTCTCGAGAGCAGGGGCCGGCCTCCTTCGACTCCGGAGCCGCGTTCAGCTCTTTGAGGACCGCTTCGTGACATTATTTATGAATGGTCACCGTCTCGTATTCAGATGCAAATAGAAAAAAATGGCTCTTCTTGTTATATTGGTTGCCGACCCCCTCCTCTTTGGCCTACTCTTCCACGCTGGCCAGACGTCGTGCAAGAGGTGGGAGTATCCACGCTCTACCCCACCAACGCGCGACCTTTCAATCGACTCTCTTTGGTGTAATAATTTCAGCGGCCAAGTAGTGCAGAGTTTGGTGGGATGGCGTTGGGGGGGGGGGGGCGCGGGGGGCGCAAGAAACTCGACCCCCGTCGTTTCAACTGCCGCGCCGGGAGATAGAATCGAACACACCACAGCGACGTCTCGTCCCGCGTGTATTTTAATTTTTACGGGTTTGATAATTTAAAAAAACCTCACCTGTACGGTGTGGGGAAGCTGTCTAGGGATACGTTCTGGAACAGCAAATGTTGTGGATAGTGATATTACCTCATCACTTTATCTCTCATCATCACTTTCTTTCTCATCATCACTTTATCTCTCTCTCTCTCTCTCGACGCAGTTGTGTAGACTTCCAGATGCGATTCGCGAATAGCCAAAATCGCGGATGGCAAGTTTGTGAATAAGGAAGGGAGGCTGAACTTGCACAACCTCTGTCCCCTGTTTATCTCTCAACAACGACGTGTCACCTCATTGCGCCAGTCGCGTGCGTCACTCGCCACCCGCCTGTCTGCTCTCGCCTGGCCCCTGGGCAAATAGTTTTTTTTTTAAAGTGATTTCAAGGAGGTGCATTGTTTGAATTGTCTTTTAGATGTTTCGTATTCGCTAATACATTTTGCTTTGCTATTTTTCGCCAAGCTAAATGGTTTATTTCGTTAGATCAATGAATGCTCAGACTCAGATCTTCATGGTGAGGTAGCCGGGTGGCTCAGAGCTCAGAGACATGGGTTTGAATCCAGGTTTCAGCCGCCCATGGCAGATTGAACCGGGTTCCCAAATGCAGCGAGTTGACGGTCTTTGCCCATTCAGCAATAACCGCACCAAAAAAACCCCACAATTAAATTTGGTTCTGCACGCAATTTTTCTAAATTCCAGCTCTTGAGAATGTAAAAAAAACATATACAGGTTGGACCATCACACGACGAACATTACGCTCGGGGGCAGAGTGGGTGGAAAAGTTGTGCCCCTGACCGTGCGATCCAGATGTCACTTTAAAGGGAGCTCAGAGGGTATCTCTCTGGTGTCCGCTTTTGCGGGCCGTTCTCTACGACTGCTAAGGGTCATACTGCTGCGCGAGAGTTCTGAGTAGATTCCTAATCTCGTGACGCAACGCTGAAGGCACAATGGCGACGAGAGACGCTTAAGCCAAGCGGTCTCTTCCTCCTGCTGCTGCTGTTGCCTTGCAGGCAGCGTCGTGGCATTGTTGTTGTTGTTGTTGTTCGTTTAAAATGCAGCTCTTGCCCAGTACCGAGTGAAATGTATTGAATTGGGGGGAAAGCTTTTCCCATACTAACGTTGGCCGCGGTAACTGTTTAATTCCCGTTAATGGGTAATTGCTCCGCTTGATTAAAGTGGATTGAGAGCTCGGTAAATCTTTGCCGATGCGCTCGCCTTTAGAAACGCTCGCAGCACAATGCTGAGTTTCCCAAACTCGCTGTTTAGTCTGACTTAATTGTTTATTCTTTTACGTGGAGTCACCATTCTCACGTTCGATAATAACAAATAATAATCATCATCATTATCAGCCTCTTTTCAATCCACTGCTGGATGAAGCCCTGTCTGTGTCAGTCGTGGGGGGGGGGGGGGCGTTATTTTATCTTATTCAATAAATTGTCACGATTCAGTTCAAGTTTTTCTTTTTACATTGTGTTGAATGTACTGACCTCGAGTGACTGCAGGGGTCTTGACCATACTTCACCACATCGGTGAGTGCGAGACAGTCAAGTAGGGGATGCCCTGTGATGTTTGGCCATGGTCGGGAGTCAAACTCGAGTCTCGTCACATTCACTGCGCGATGTGCGAACCACTTCACCACCGCTCCACCCCGACCAGTCTCTTGTGCACCTTATTAAGTTGGATGTAAATGTTTTGGGGTATTTATGGTTTATTTAGTTTCCCCCTGGCCAAGTCATCAGCAACCCCTCGGCCTGGTCCTCGTGGAAGGTGTGAACGCAGGTAAAGATCACTGTCAGTTTTGACATGTAGGCTTTCGCGACCAAGATTATCCATCTAGTTATTCAGTTATTAGATGCAATTACTGGCGAAACGTCATACTCAAATTGTAAATGTTGTGGGTTTACTTTACAACACACCGGTGTGCTGTACTAGTAATGAATTGCCACATTTTGTTTACGTGACAAACCTTACTAACTGGCTGTGTCGGGCCGTGCCGGGTTTAACGACACATTTATATTTGCGTGATATAACCCAAAAAAACCTCTTATGGAAAGATCACTCTCTGGACAAAACAAAATCGTGGGGCTGAAACGTCGATCGCTTGCAAAAGAAGAGGCTTCTGTTGGGCACGTGATAATTGAGTCTGGTTTAAATCGGCTTGAATAGGGTCACGCGAATGCTTTGGTGCAAGGCGCACTGCTAGAAATGATAATTGGCAGCAGTCGGATTGGCAATTTGTCGCCGTGTCTCTCTGGTTGTTGTGGTTCTCTCTTTTGATTGTTTTCATCACAATTGAAGGCTGCGCTTTCGGCATTCACTTATTGGGACGAAATGCCAATTTGGAACTCTCATGTTTGTATAACGACCCCGGGGAAGGTGATACTACAGAGCCATTTCCCACACACTCTACCGCCGCAAATAGATGTCTCATGTCACGCAAACTTAATTTTTTTTTATCACACAGTTAGAATTGGTGCCAAATTATGCACGCAAAAAACATTACATTTAATAGTTTTTTTGTGCAGTTATTGTTGGTGACAGGGCTGAGACCATCAACTCAATTTCACATGAGAATCCGATTTAAACACAGGTGGCTGAAACCCAGGCAAGGCCGGCTCAGCTTTCTGACCTGAGCGAGCCACCTAGCCATCCATCCATCCAGCTACTCAGCCACCACTCTCATCTTCCCATTTATAACAAACACAAAGATCCCCCCATATAGCCTTTGACAGACTGTTGGGGCAAGTGCTCTTAGTGAGTTGACACACACACATGTGCATGCTGGTCTATCCCACTCCTCACTCCCCTGTGATATGTCTCACAACAGAGGACTTCACGATGGTGATCTGCCCGGGCATAGCGAACCACAGCGAGAAGACGTACATCCGCACGTTTGTGGATCACGCGCAGAGGTCTGGCTACCGTTGTGCGGTCCTCAACCACCTGGGAGCCCTGGCCAGCATCAAGCTCACCGCACCGCGCATGTTCACCTACGGTGAGGATGGCAGTTTGACACGCGGTGTGTGCGTGTGTCATGTGTGAGCATTGTGTCGGTGTGTGTGGAAGCGTTGGCGTAGTAGTTACCGCACTGCGCTTTTAAACTGGCGACCTGGGTTCAATTCCCGCTCGTGGCCACCAACACCAGTGACAATTTTCTTAACCTGTCCTGCGCCTCCCCTAGATCTACTCAGCCTCAAATGAATACCTGGTGCAATATGTAAATATCGCCACTTTGGAGACAAAGGCGGCTGGGCGTGGTGCCGGCCACCCACCCCCTCGTGTGCCATGCGGGCCTTCATAGGTGCTACCTGCTAAGCACTTGCCTCCACAGTCTTTTAAGGCTAAACGGGCTTCCTTTCTAGGTGTATGTGGGTGTGGATGGGGAGTAGAGCTGTAATGGTTAGCACGCTGAGCAATGAACGACTAAAGTTCGATACCTGCTCACGATCAACATCGGTGGCGATTATCTCATCCGGTCATCGCCTAGGTTCACTCAGCTTCAAATATGTGAAAAACATCATCACTTAGGAGACAAAAACATCATCACTTAGGAGACAAAAGTGGCTGGGAGTGGCGCTGACCACACCCCACCCGCTCACTCGCTGTGCCAGCCTTCACAGACTCGCTAACAGCACTCTCCCCCGACAGCCTGTGTGGGCTACACATGAGGAGGTCTTTGTGTGCGTGTGCGTGTGAGTGGACACGCACACATCGGTTGTCAGGCGAGGGAATCGCAATCGAGGGCCCTGATTCAGGCGCTAGGCAACGGGCGGTGCCGGCGTTGTTGACGAAGGCGCGGTGCCCCCGAATCAGAGTTTTTTTTATGTAGACTAGAAGAATCCGATTAGCTACAAAGGTCTTTTTCGCACACGTTCAGTCGGGGCTGGTCAGCGCGGAGCGGCTTATGAGAAACGGGTGCCACAGTGGCGAGATGTTAACTACCTTGCCTAGTATACGGGAGGTTGTGGGTTCAATCCTGACCACTGTAGTTTGCATGTCTCTCTCCCCGTGGTCGCGTGGATTTTTCTCCGGGTCCTCCGCTTTTCCCCTCCACATTTAGAAGCGACATGCGTGTTGAGAGTATTTGGCAGCTGTAAATTTCCACATGATGATAAGCCACTTTTGTTGAGCCATCATTTGTGGCCAGGTCACTTCTGAAAAAGAGCTGTATAGCTCGGTGGGCCTTACCTGGTCAAATAAAAAAAAGTTTTTTTTTAAACATGTCGGCGCATGCCACTGCCCACTCGGTGGTCTCCCTTCGGTTCGTCTCACTTTACTCGAGGGGGACTTCTCCCCCCCCGGGCTCTCTGTGACGGTCGTTGTGACCTTAACGTGAAGGTCGTCACGACTTGCTGCCTGTCGTTGGAAAGTTGAAGGGTGGGGGGGGTGGGTGTGTCGGCTCGCGTGCCAGTGCAACTATAGTGAATAATGCCACAGCGACTCAGGCACGTGCCATTTACGTGTTGTAGTAACGGTGGCTGAACTTCTCTAAGTTCAACAGGGAAATAAAAAGAATAGCCCCGTTAAGATAACGCGAGACACTACCCAAAGAAGCTCCCGGCACGGAGAGCGAAACGTCGGACACCGTGCAAGCGCGTCGGAAGACCTGCTTGGCACGATGGCCAAAACCTACGCAGCGGCGTGAACTTAGGAACGGTGGAATCGCACATTCCATTCGGAATTAATAAGACCACGATTGAGCATTTAACCTATTTTAAATGGGTTGGTCATACGTTACATCCATGCAAAAACAGTACAGAATGGAAAGTTTAAAAGCAGTTGCATTCTTTCTCTGTTAAATGTGGACTTCCTGCCCATGCGGTTGTTAAATAAATAACATCGGTGACTTTTCGTAGAGCACAAGGCATTTCCATTGCCCCTGCATGAGGAAATGACTCAGTGACTTAAGCTTGGGCGTGGTCGCTGATCAATCCGATCTGCCATTTAACGTTTGTGAGCGTTTATTTCTCGTAGTGCAAACGCCCGTATCGCTGCAGCTCGTGTCGATTAGCTGAGTTGGTGGATCGTGCAGGGACATGGTTATCGTGCGTGTGTCATAGCCATCCTGCAGAGCAGCACCGGTGCCCATAGTGGTTGGGCACAAGCGAGTAGGTTGGATCCTGTGGGTTGTTCTCCGGGGGCAAGTCCAAAGGAATAACTTGGTGGGCAAGCGATTGGCTTTGTTAGGTTGTCACAGTAGCATCAGTTCCCGCGCTCACGATACGTCTATCGAATCGTGTGTGCGCGTGTGTATCAGAATCGATCACTTGCACTCCGTATTGCACGTTGAATGTAAGTTATTCTTGGAAGCCCTACCACCAATTTAGCGATGTCTGAATGGGCCCCCCCCCCCCCCTCTTCACCGACCCGCACTGCTGACCACCGTGGTGAAGTATGGTCAAGTAACCTACATGACCGACACTACAGGGACGAGGCCTGCACCCAGCAGCGAATTCACAAAAGATCTGTGTACAGTATTCGTATTATTTTATTATAAACAATTCACTTCATGATAATAATTGGGGTTGTTTTTGTTCCATTTTAATTAGCGCGACTCGGCCCCCGCACGATAATATTTCCCCACCATCGCATCCCGTTACGCAATACGCACACATCCAAATACAAAGACAAAGATCCCCCGTATAGCCTCAACAGGCTGGGGCAGGTGCTGTTAGCAAGTACCTATGAAGGCCGGCATGGCACACGAGGTGGTGGGTGGCCATCACCACGCCCAGCTGCCTTTCCTCGTGGCAATGTTTACACACCACACCAGGTACTCATTTGAGGCTGATTCGACCTAGGGAAGGCCCAGGACCGGTTCAGATAGTCGTCGCTGGTGTTGGCTGCGAGTGGGAATCGAAACCCGGTTGCCGGGTTCGTAGTACGGCGCGCTAACCGCTACACTTGTTATAACAACAAGTCGTCATTTGCCACTAAGTGGGAGTGACATCACCACGGCACCTGTGTCAAAGCCAGGTGCACTTTGAGGTTACGTGAAGTGCTGAAGGCTTGCTGACAGGAGGTCCGGGTGCCATGGGTCGACTGACTGACAAATGTACAAGCTGTGCCTCCTAGTGTGCCAACTTGCTGCATTTCAGCCGCCCAGCGCCTCCGCTCGTTGTTGTGAGCGTCGCTCCTCTGCCCTCCGTTGTTGCTGGAGGGCGACTGCACAGCGGCGTCCTTCACGAGCCTCCTCCTGCCGCCCCCCCCCCCCGACACGCGCGCACACATCACGCGCTCACAACACACACACGCACTGCCCTGGAACGCGCTTGGGGGGGCAGGAAGCGGCTGGGGAGCCACCGCGGCGTTTGGAACGCGCCGCCTCGCCCAGTGCGGTGAGCCGGCTGGTGAGCTATCCCACCGGCAACAAAACTCCCTCCCGTCACAACCCAACAGCCATCGGCACCGCCTGCCTTCCCTCTCACGTACGCACACGCAGCTGCAGGCGTGACCACACTGCCGTGTTTGTCCAGCGTCAAGGCCGATGGCTCGGCACCTTCGCAAATATTACAGCAGCCCTTGAAGAGAAACGTATATATATATAGACGTGCGAGCTGGCAATTGATGTCCAGCTAAAGGCGTATAGAGGGATTGACTCGCGCTGAATATTGTTTTGATGTTCAGTTTTGCGTATCGTCATCGTCAGGTCGTGCGCCGCTGTCCCTCGCATTCGCTGAAGAACCGCGGGTCAGGTGGGCGACAGCAGCCAGGCGGCGAGCCGGCGTGTCCAATCGTTGCCCACGCTCTGCAGTCCTCTTGATATCTGTATATGACAGTTAGTTAGTTTCATGCGTGCTTGCGTGTGTGTGTCACACGGTCCTCGCCTCCGAAATGTAACCCCCTTTCTTTCCGGCCCACGGAGAGAGAAAGCATTATCAATCACGGGGGGGGGGGGGATTTAATCCCATTATTTCACAGTTTTACAAATAAATCTTCACCCTATTTAAATTGTAATTTGTTAATCATTGCACAATAATAGTTAGTGATTTTATAATGCTGTGTCTTGGTTTTTTATGTTTTACAGTATGCGAAACTATTGGTATCGTTCCCCCCGTTATTAATTGAGTGGTACATTCTGAACAGCCGAAAAGCTACGGTGAGCAATGTGGATCAAAGCAGATGGCGGTAACGTGATTTTTCATTACAGACGTTAATTTGGCATCATTGAACTGACGCACATCAGAATCATACATTTATTTATCCTGCAGGAATCCGATGAGCTATGAAGCTCTTTTTCACAGATTCCCAGTAGGGGCGGTAACGAATGTTACAACAACAAACTGTACGAAAACACGATAGTCGTGCAAGTACCCTTGGGACCGGGTAATGGGGACCCCCGCATCTAGTTATTATATATATTGTGAACGACTCGTAGGTCATGAAGAACCACAGACAAGTGAGAAAGCAGCAGCCAGGCGATGAGCCTGCGCCAGCAATTTCGCAAGCAAAGCCACAACATTTACAATCTGAGTACGACGTTTCGCCAGTAATTACAACTGGCTTCATCAGGCGACAGCCAGAGGAGAAATCCTCCTGTTTTGTTACTTAAATAGAGGGGTAGATGTGATGGCATCACTTGTGAGCCCTTCTTCAGCGATGTGGCAGGGGGCGGGGGGGGATTCATGAATGCATGATATTAGTCCGCACTTTTCTCAGTACCGCATTGCCCTGGCGAGCTGGGAGTATGGGCGCCTCTTCAATGCCCACAGGGAGGGAGTTTGACAGTGTCTGTATAGTGATCCAACAACCCTCGCTGCTGCCTCCAACAGTGCTCGATTACAGGCCACGTGCATAGCCACCGCTGCCCAGCGTGTGATGGAAATTGCAATTAAATACACAGATTAAACAAATGATGTTGCAGGCATTCACGATTGTTCAGAATGTGTGCGTGTCGAAGGGGACGGCACAGAAGTACTTCTGAGCTCCCTTGGATTGCCACTTATCCCAGCCCAGTCAGTCGTCCCCGTGAGTCTTGCTTTTGTTTAATATTGGCTGCATCAGCGAGCAGCCCAGAGGCCGCAGACGCTGCCGTCTCCCCGCGATAACGGCAGTCTCTCATCTCATTTAAGGAACCGCTAAGCCCTTTAACGGTCGCTCGTAGACCTTGCACGCCATTATGTGAGCACGAGGTACCTTGAAACACAGAGTGCCTTTTTAGCTTTCCGAGTTTCACGTAAAAGGTCGCTCCAAATAACAGGGCGGAAGTTATATACAGTGAGGGAAAAAAGTATTTCATCCCCTGTTGATTTTGTATGTTTGCCCACTGACAAAGAAATGACCAGTCTATAATTTTAATGGTAGGTTTATTTGAACAGTGAGAGACAGAATAACAACAATAACATCCAGAAAAACGCATGTCAAAAATGTTATAGATTGATTTGCATTTTAATGAGGGAAATAAGTATTTGACCCCTCTGCAAAGCATGACTTCGTACTTGGTGGCAAAACCCTTGTTGGCAATCACAGAGGTCAGACGTTTCTTGTCGTTGGCCACCAGGTTTGCACACATCTCAGGAGGGATTTTGTCCCACTCCTCTTTGCAGATCTTCTCCAAGTCATTAAGGTTTCGAGGCTGACGTTTGGCAACTCGAACCTTCAGCTCCCTCCACAGATTTTCTATGGGATTAAGGTCTGGAGACTGGCTAGGCCACTCCAGGACCTTAATGTGCTTCTTCTTGAGCCACTCCTTTGTTGCCTTGGCCGTGTGTTTTGGGTCATTGTCATGCTGGAATACCCATCCACGACCCATTTTCAATGCCCTGGCTGAGGGAAGGAGGTTCTCACCCAAGATTTGACTGTACATGGCCCCGTCCATCGTCCCTTTGATGCGGTGAAGTTGTCCTGTCCCCTTAGCAGAAAAACACCCCCAAAGCATAATGTTTTCACCTCTATGTTTGATGGTGGGGATGGTGTTTTTGGGGTCATAGACAGCATTCCTCCTCCAAACACGGCGAGTTGAGTTGATGCCAAAGAGCTCCATTTTGGTCTCATCTGACCACAACACTTTCACCCAGTTGTTCTCTGAATCATTCAGATGTTCATTGGCAAACTTCAGACGGGCATGTATATGTGCTTTCTTGAGCAGGGGGACCTTGCGGGCGCTGCAGGATTTCAGTCCTTCACGGCGTAGTGTGTTACCAATTGTTTTCTTGGTGACTATGGTCCCAGCTGCCTTGAGATCATTGACAAGATCCTCCGGTGTAGTTCTGGGCTGATTCCTCACCGTTCTCATGATCATTGCAACTCCACGAGGTGAGATCTTGCATGGAGCCCCAGGCCGAGGGAGATTGACAGTTATTTTGTGTTTCTTCCATTTGCGAATAATCGCACCAACTGTTGTCACCTTCTCACCAAGCTGCTTGGCAATGGTCTTGTAGCCCATTCCAGCCTTGTGTAGGTCTAGAATATTGTCCCTGACATCCTTGGAGAGCTCTTTGGTCTTGGCCATGGTGGAGAGTTTGGAATCTGATTGATTGATTGCTTGCTTCTGTGGACAGGTGGCTTTTTTACAGGTAACAAGCTGAGATTAGCAGCACTTCCTTTAAGAGTGAGCTCCTAATCTCAGCTCGTTACCTGTATAAAAGACACCTGGGAGCCAGAAATCTGTCTGATTGAGAGGGCGTCAAATTCTTATTTCCCTCATTAAAATGCAAATCAATTTATAACATTATTGACATGCGTTTTTCTGGATTTTGTTGTTGTTATTCTGTCTCTCACTGTTCAAATAAACCTACCATTAAAATTATAGACTGATCATTTCTTTGTCAGTGGGCAAACGTACAAAATCAGCAGGGGATCAAATACTTTTTTCCCTCACTGTAATAGCAGTGGTGGGGGGGGGGAGCAGAGGATATCAGACTGTGAAGAATTTGCCTCAGCGATGTGTGTATTTGTATAGAATTTTTAAGGCGAAAGTAAAATCCCCCCTCACCCCCACCAACGCGTGTGACTTGGCATGGTCCTTGCCCCCCCACCGAAAGTGCGTGAGTTGGTATGGCCGAGCGCGAGTAATAAATAATGAAATAAAAAATCGCACAAAATCGCTAATTTTACTCATTTAACGCTGACGGATGTGAAAAAGAAATAGCGCTTGCCAACCGCGGGTTTTACGGCGTGGTACCTGGCTAATTTTTTTTTACGTAAACCCCACCGTTGGAGAGCCAAATCCCTTGCAAGCGCGTGAACACAGACAGACAGACAAAAAATGACATTTATACATAAGATTTTGGTCATAATAATAATTATTATTATGCTTGTTCGTATGTATGTTCAACTTCTTTCGCACCGTATGTAGCGAGCAGTGTTAATCGGAGGTGCGGGTGAAGGGCAACAAACCAAATGCACAAAACGGGTATAAAGAAATTAGTTTTCAATTTTTTACCCGGGAAAGACTCGCTGAGTCTCATGACTGTTTGTCAGCAGGGTCCTGCCAAGTCTTCGCAGGGTGGGGTGTTTATTGCTACTGCTTATAATCCCAATTGAGTAAAGGTTGCCGTGTAAATGATTGTCTTCTTATTCGGCAGTCCCCTATCAGCCGAGGACAGTCGTCTTCAATCGGTGTCTTCTCATCTGTGGGTGCGAAGCTGGCCCCCGATGAGGCCGACGATGCACGACCCCCCCCGTGGTCCCTGCTCCGGGCGTCGCGTGCTTCCGAGCGGGACGGCCGTCCCCGCGTTGTCGATTCCGTCGTGCGGACTTGCCGTTCCGCCCATAGGGCAATGCGGGTTCACGGTTATTCTGTGGCCTGCATGGCTAAGCGGCGGGGGTGCGGGTCTTTGTGTGCGCTCAGGCTGCACGTGGGAGTACGGCGCCATGGTCCGGCGCGTGCGGAAGCTCTACCCCAACACGAAGCTCGTCGTCGTGGGCTTCAGCATGGGCGGCAACATCGTGTGCAAGTTCCTGGGCGAGGACCGCGAGAACCAGGAGGGCGTCGCGTGCTGCATCAGCGTCGGACAGGGCTACAGCGCGCTCATGTAAAGCGTGCGTGTGTGTGTGTGTGAGCGGACCGGTAGTGTGTGTTGTCTGGGAGGAGCGGTAGTGTGTTTTATTTCCGCTCACGGCCAACACCGGTGACGATTATCTGAACCAGTCCTGGGGCCTCCCCTAGGTCGACTCGGCCTCAAATGAGTACCTGGTGCGGTGTGTAAACATCGCCAACTGGGGAGACAAAAGCGGCCGGGCTTGGTTTTGACCACGCACCCCCTCGCGTGCCGTTTCCGGCCTTCATAGGTGCTCGCTAACAGCACTTGCGTCAACAATCTGTTAAGGCTATACGGGCGATCTTTGTCTTTGTTTGGGTGTGTGCGTGTGGAGCAGTGGCTATCACGCTACGCTACGAACTCCCCAAACTGTGTTCGATTCCGGCTCAAGACCAACAACAGTCGCAAATATCTGGAGCGGTCCCAGCATGCATTCACCTCGAGAGGATAAAATCAAATTTGTATTGATACAGTCTTCAGATATACAGAAACCTGTATTATGGATGATATCGGTTGCAAAAGCCTATATGTTGAATGGACATTTAGTGGAGAGAGGGGCAGTTGGTCATTAGCATAGAAGACGAGGATGGTCTTGAGCCTGAACTTTAATAGGGGCGGGGGTCCACAGCACGGTCGGCTGAGGGGAAGGCAATTCCAGACTATGGGGGCAGTAGAGGAGATTGACCGAACTCCCACTGAGCGAAGGTTGACTGGGTGGGGCCTTCGATAGAAATCCATTTTTGCATGAGTGCATAGAGGGTAGTAGAGTGAGATGAGAGGGGAGAGGTAGGAGAGTGCGTGGAGGGGAGTAGAGTGAGATAAGAGGGGAGAGGCAGGCATGGGCTTGTCCGTGTCGGATCACGATGACAGCGAGTGCGATCTTGAAATTGATCTGGGATTGAATTGGGAGGCAGTGGAGCGATAGGAGTATGGGGGAGACCGCGGTGTCATTTACAGTTATGGGTGGGGCGGCTGGCAGCGGCATTTTTGAGCATCCGGCGTTTGGAGACCAGGGATTTGAGAAGGCCATAGACCGGTGTTTTTCATTGCAAGGCCCGCGGGCCACTGGTGGCCTTTAGTGCGGCCCCTGACGTGCGGCCCCCGACGATACACAACATGTGACAACATCAACGTGCTGCTGTCAAGCCCCAATGGTTTCAAATGTGTGGCGGCCCTCACACTGTGATGGTGTCTTATCGGGAAAAGTTTGCAATGGTCGAGTCGGGATGTGACGAAGGCAGAGGACGAGTGTCCATTGACTCCCACCGCTCTTGCCACCGCGGGGGCCTGGTGGCGTAAGCCTTGTGTGTGTGAGTGGTATGCACTCCCTGGGTTCCTCCCACACACACAAAACTCTCTTAAAGAGGCACTGTTTACACTTTACATTCGCAGGATCCTCAAAAAAATAAGTCTTAATGGGCAGTGACTCATCTCGTTAGTGGAGAGGGAGCAGCTGCGCAGTGGTTCTGACCTGAATTCTATTTTGGGCGATGGCTAACATCGCTGGCATGTGATATCTGAACTGTTCCTGGCCCCGACCACGCGACCCTATCACCAATCCACGCTGACCAGCGAGGTGAAGTATTGAAACGCAAATAAACGACAAGTGGAGGGAGGCCTTCATCTAGCGGTAGATTCGCAAAGGGGTGGCAATTGATGTATTATTATTATTTTGTTTTATTTGGCCAGGTGGCTCTCAGCCAGCACCACTGACATCCTAGGTTCAAATCCAGGCAGTGGTCTGTTATTACGAGTTGATTGTCTCAGCCCAGTCGCCAATGACTCCAACAACAACAACAAAAAACAACCCCATCATATTCAATTTGGTTCTGTCGCGTTTAGTTTTCCAATTTGTGCTGTGTTCGATCCGGAAGCAATTTTGCCTCGAGCTGATTTGCCCTGCAGGGAATCGTGTTTGAAATATTTTCAAGTCCCCATCACGAGATGCGGCTGTCTTTGTACTGAACCTATTGTTGGTTTTACTTTCCATCAGTTAGGCCAGCGGTCCCCAACCTTTTTGGCACCAGGGACCGGTTTCGTGGAAGACAATTTTTTCACGGACCGGTGGGGGGGGGGGAGTTCATCATTGGGTCTTTCCCCCTTTTCAAAGAAGCTCTCTAGCGACGTTTGTTTGTTCCTCATTTTTGCTACTAGGGGGTTAGAGCTTGTGGGCTTTATACCAACACCGTGACTGAGACGAGTGCGCAGTGCGGGAAAGAGGCACAGACGGAAGTGTTAAATAATAAAATAATGGGCGGGCCACGCGCGGTCTCACCGCTCTCACCTCCTGCTGCTGTGCGGCCCGGTTCCTAACAGGCCACGGACCGGTACCGGTCCGCGCCCCCGGGGGTTGGGGACCCCCTGGATTAGGCGACCCAGGGGGTCACCCTTACAAATGAGACTGTTGTCTATTATAACCCTTGTCTCTAGAGTTCCCACCCGCTTCAACACAATCAACTTTGAACCCTTGAGACACTGCCCCCGCAAGCGATCGGAATGCTTGAGATGCTGCCCCTGCGAGCGATCCGAATGGATCCCACCGTCTGATGAGATGTCACCGTGACAGAACGATCGGAACAAAACCAGAAAGTGACAATTATAGTTTAAAATACATTTTGAAGACGCGCACGTTATTTGTTTGCCTTGCAGCGCATCACCCACATTCCTGCAGTGGGACAACTTCCGGCGCTTTTACAACTTCATGATGGCCGACAACATGAAGCGCATCATCCTGAGCCACAAGTATGCCCTCTTCCCTTGCGCGGCCCGGATTACAAAAATGCGCACGCACGCACGCACGCGGGGAGATGAGCATCGCTCTAAGCTGGCACTTGGCGGAGACACGGCGGGCACTTGCAAGGGCACAGTCGGCCCGGGTAACCCATGCGGCGTCCCAGTTCGTTTGCCTGATGAAGCTCTTTGAGGTTGTTCAGTATTGCAGGTTGTTAAAAATTCGGCTGGGAAAAGTCCTAAGCCACCCGGCAGTTAGGAGGAGCTCTCTCAGTCAGAATTTAATCAATGCATTGCCACGGTATATGTAATATTTCTGTAAACACGACGATTTCGTAAATACTGAGGAATTTGAATTTGGCGTGGGTTTGTTCTCTGACACACCGCTGTGCTGAACTAGTAACTAATTGTCATGTTTTGTTTACGTAACAAACCTTGCTAATTGGCTGTGTTGAGCGGTGGCAGGTTTGACGACACATTTATATATTTACCCGATGTAACCCAAAAAACCTCTTTTATGGATGATGATTTATAATTGGAGATGCTCAGGGCAGTGGCCTTCAATATCACACAGAGAGAGAGAGAGAGGCCAGAGAGGTTGGGGCTAAAGATGACAAACAAAACAATTATCAATCAACGTATTGGCTGTGAAGGCCTAGATGTCATGGTAACGATCCCCCTCTCGGCAGCACCCCTCGATCCGCACTCAGTGTGCTTGTAGAACAGCGCTCATCCAACAGCATTTTCTGCTGGCTGCTATTTGAATCGGAATGCCGTACGTTGAAACCTCCGTAGCGTTTTGCAGGGGAACCGGCCAGATTGGACGTTGTGCGTTCACGAGCGGGGGGGATATCTACCGCGTCGTAACGCGTCTCCAGGGTGGCACGGGAGCCGAAAAAGTAAGGGGTTACGATTTATAAATTTCCCCCCACCCGTCCACCAAGCAGCATAACCGGGTGCACTTGCAGTGCGTCGATCGGCAGGTCGCGCTTGGTGGGTTAAAGTGTGGGTACGAGCATCTCTTCCCCCACGTTAATATCGTAAATTACTCCTCGTCCCCCCCCCCCCTCCTCCCACCCCTCTCTTCCCGCCTCCTCTCATCGTTACCCCAGGGAGTTGCTGCTGGGAGACGGGAATGGAAAGCGGCCGTCGTGCCTCCAGGAAATGGATTTCAACCGCCTCTACACGGCCACCTCGCTCATGCAGATCGACGACGTGATCATGAGGTCAGCTGCGGGGGGAGGGGGGGCAGGGGGAGGGGGCCGGGTGGCTGAGGAGCAGGGAGGAGGAGTGGGGAGTTTGGGTGGAAGTGTGAGTGGTTGTGAGTTTGAGAGCATAGCCGCCATATGAGTCGGTGAGTGTGAAATCAATCAAACATTTTTGAAAGTTCATGAATGGTGTCTATTTTCACAGGGGGGAGGGGGGGGTGGTGGGGGGGGGCTGATGGGCCTGGAGGAGGAGCGTGAAGGAGTGTGAGTGGAAGTGTGCTCGCTTAACAGCACATGCCCCAACAGTCTATTAAAGGCTGTAACTGTGGGGGGGGGGGGGTCTTTGTGGAAGTGTGAGTGGTTGGGAGATGGGAGTGGTTGGCAGCTTGAGAGCAACCTAGTAATGCCAGCGAGTGTGAAAGTCCAGGAATGGCGTCTTGCTGCACAGAAGTCGCGCGATCAACGGGAGGCTTGAGTTGGCCTCGGGAGAGAGACGGTTGTGTTGTAGCTGTCGCGCGCGAGATGGCGGTGTGTGTGTGTGTGACCGAAACGCCACGCCTCTGCTCGATGGTGTCTCCCCCGTGCAGGAAATTCCACGGCTACAGCACCCTGCAGGACTACTACGAGAAAGAGAGCTGCGCTCCCTTCCTGCAGAACGTACGTCGCTCGTTCCTCAGCCGCAGCGCCGACACAGCGGCACATTACGTCGGTGATGATGCTGCTGGCTGCTGCTGGCTGCTGCTGTGTTGCCAGTGGTGCACAAACAACAACTCGACACACTCGTCGATAACAACGCTGTAGCCTTAAAAGGAAAAATGTATTATAGGCGACGTTTCGTGCACAATGGCCCTTCATCGCGTGACGTGCAGGGCCATTGCTCGTAACGTCGCCTGTCGCATGAAGAAGGGTTATCTACTCTTCTGTTTCACATTATTTTTTTCCCTACGTGTGACAACTTAAACCAAAGCCTGGGCCATTGTGTTGTGAACGTTATGGACTGCGTTAGAAGTTGTGCTTCTATTGGAAGACCAATCCGCAGCCTTACGTTGATTGGACGTACATACTTTGAAATTATTTCGCAACTGTGCGTAGCCAACTGCGCTGATCGGAGGTGTGGGGGAAGGACAACAAGCTAAACACAAAAAGCCAGTTCTAAATGAATGAATTTTCAATCGACACTTAAAAGTGCATAGCACTCGGTGAAGAACCTGAACCTTTAAGTTTTGCAAACCACCAAAAGCAATGCGGCAGAATGGGAAACAATTACGGTGCAATGTTAAACTGCTATCGTGCGAATGCTTGTTGAGTGTAAATTGGACAGTGGTCCCACGGTTGGTGTTTGTTTTGCCGTGTTGCATTCTGGCCGCAGATCAAGGTGCCCATGCTGCTCGTTAATGCCCTGGATGACCCCATCGTCCATTCCTCACTCCTCGTCATCCCTCGCACGCTGGCCGGTACGTTGCACGATGCCCAGCTCGCCCACGCTCGCCCCCACGCTCATCCACGCTTGCGCTCGTCCACGCTCGTCCACGCTCGTCGATGCCCGTGCCGAGCCGAGCCGTGGCAAGTCAGTGTCTAGCGGCCAGTGTCTGTGCACAAGTGTGCGCGTCAGTCACGTGGAAGGGTGACCAAGTGTGCGCGTCAGTCACGTGGAAGGGTGACGCAGTGGTTAGTGCTCTGCTCTTGCGCCCATGGTGAGCTCACGTCAGCGGAGAGTTATGTCTGAACCGCTCTTGGGCGTCTCCTGGGTTGACTCATCCTTAATCGGATACCGGTTGCAGGGTGCAAACGACGACAACCAGGAGACCCAAAGGCAGTGCGAAATTACGGATATAATTCATGGTCGGGCGTGGTGCTGACCTCATCATCCCCCTCGTGTGCCGTGCGCCACCAATGCCAGTGGCGTTTATCCGAACCGGTCCTGGGCCTCCCCTAGGTCGACTCAGCCTCGAATGAGTACTTGATGCGATGTGTGAAACATCGCCACGGGCAGAGACGAAGGCTGCCGGGCGTGGTGCTTTGCCACCCACGTACGTCGTGTGCCGTTGCCGGCCTTCGTAGGTGCCCGGCTAACAGCACTTGCCCCAACAGGACGAACCCTTTGGGTTCGTCATCGTCGTCATGCCAGCCTTTCGTTAGTGGCGCTGAAATGCAACACCTGCCGTGTCTTTGTGCTGATGTCATCACCCCCAACTTCCTCCTCTGTGGACTCTACCAATCTCCGTTAGAAGCCTGTCTGACCCACCCCAACGTTTGGTGGATAGTGGATACGCCAATACCCTTAGTTCAATCATGTATGCCAAAATGATAAAATAATGATATGTTGACACATTTTGGTATTTGCGCAATTCTGATAGCCACGAGATCATCGCGACGAAAGGCGCCGTATTATCATTGACGAGCGTCGTTTTCCAGTCAGGGGTCCGTATTCCCTCTGTGGTTTTTTTACCCAGGTGCTGGGCAATTTGTGAGTCGTTTTTTTTCTTTCGATTGTGGAAAATTTTGGCCGCGGCGCCGGGATTTTTCACGTCCGCTGTGACGCAGGCGGCTCGCGTGCGTCTGGGCTCGAGCCGCGAACCCCTGCAATGAGCGTCAAACGCCAGAGATGGGGTGGGGAACCTTCACCTTGGCAATAGAGCCGAAATAGGATCCTTGGCCACCTTTGGCGGGCGACCGCACGCGTTAGTTGACGGGGGACCGCGTCGGACAAGCAGGCATGTTCGGTTTTCCGTGACGTCTAAAAAACGTTTCCAAGCGTGGTCGCTGGGCCTGAGTGTCGCCCTCGAAGGTTCAGCACGTGTGTGCGCGCGTGTGTGCTCATGTGTTCGCGCGTTACCCCATACACGTGCCTGGCTCAGCTCGGCATTCGATCGTATCCGTCGTAAAATAAAAAAAAGTTGCTTCGAGTGACGCCGGTCAAACACTGCGGCAAGGTTGACCGTTGGCGATCATTTTCGGTTGATAAAAAGACGTTGACCAATGCCCACTGTCACTGTTTAATGTTGCCTGCAGGATCTTGTTCTGAAATTTTTGACGGACTTTTTTGTTGTTGTTTCACTCTCCCATCGAAAGCTTGAGAGCATTTCTGGATTAGATCAGTCCGTTCATCCGTTCGCTTGTCTCTCTCTCTCTGTCTATCCTTCCGTAACTTGGAGAGGGGGTGGGGCGCACTTATCCCGTTGAAACAAACCTAGTTAACGAAAACGGTTTCCCAATGCGACACTAAGCAGTACAAAAAGGACAATTTGCAATGAACGCAGAGCGCTTGTCAGCCCGACGGTTATGGGCCTCCTCATTGCGAGTTAATTGCTGCCGAGGACAAACGCGCGCTGGGAAGCAACGCACAATCCGCTCGCTGACGCACACCACCACCTCGGACGTTATCGTCGTGGCTGCCGGTAAGGCTTCACCGAGCCACGCAGCTCTGCTTCGAGGACGGCCTGCAGAGACCAAGACCCGTCGGTAGCGGCGGCAGTCGTACGACGCCGCGCGGCGATGGCGTGCGTGCGCGCCCGTGGCGACCCTTCCGCACGTAACCAGGGTTTACCGTGACGTCACCAAGCGTGGCCTTCGCTCGCTCGCCGGTGTGACGGTGGTGGCTACGCGCGATTTTTTTTATCGTAATCATTTTTTTTTTAAATCCTAATCTTTCCTTTTGTTCGTTCCGTGGTCCTCTGCGCGCCCCCCCACCCCCACCCCCACCCCTCCTGCCACCCCGCAGAGAAAAAGGAGAACGTGATGTTCGCCCTGACGTTGCACGGCGGCCACCTGGGATACTTCGAGGGGGCGGTGCTGCTGCCGGAGCCGCTCACGTGGATGGACAAGCTGATCGTGGAGTACGCCAACGCAGTCGCCCAGTGGAGCAAGGCCCCCTGCGCCGCTAGCGACAAATAGACTTTGCCCGCCCCCCAAACAACCCCCCCCACCCCACATTCCCCCCCCCCCACCACCACCAAACCCCCCCCACCCCCGTGGAGAGCGAGAGCGAGCGACGGTGTGCGGGTCCTCGCGGTCAACCCAGCCTGAGACGTCTCGCTCGTTCTCCCGCCGAGATGAAGATGCAAACGAAAGGAGCCACCACTTTTTTGTTATTTGTTTTTTTTGTTGTTTGGCGGTGAGCGAAGCCGAGTGGCCCACGCTTTCACAGACGAAGGGGGGGAAGAGGGAAAAAATATTTGGAATGTGGATTGCGTCCCGTGGCTCACATCGATTTAGTCTTCACCATGAAAATTATGGAATTCTCTTTTTTTTTTTACAATATTTCAACGTGGCTTTTTTTTTACAATTCGTTTCTAGAATCGTTGTCCAGACGAAGTTGATGTTTAAGCCTGACTCGGCGTGAGTAACACTCGCCACGGGAACCGAATGTCGTGGCAAGGAGTAATTTTTTTGTTTTGAGGATTTTCATACTTGCCTAAACCTTGTTGTATTTTTTATGATTAATATTAATAGCAGCTGTGTCTTTATCGTCAATGTCGCTTGTGTGTGGAAGTGAAACGAAGCATAATTTTCGAGGGACCGTTGCACAAGTTTGCGTTTTGATGTCACCAACAGGAAGGGAAGTCCCGTGCATGCGACGTCCGTAAGTTTTTGTTGTCTGTGGCCAACGTATTTGTAAAAATGTCGTAATTTAAAGCAATTAATGCATACTTATGTCGAAGCATTTGCACTCGTAGCTTGATGGGGGAAGGTGGGGAGTCGGCAGGAGGGTCGGCGGATTGCTTTCCGTCGAGTGCGGAACGTGAATCTTGAAACGCTGCTGAGGAGCTAATCATTGGATCCTCGTCGTTAGAGGCTACTTCGTTTGTTCAGCCGAGAGAATTTCCGCTCGATGTCGCAACGCGTTCTTGCGACAGCGGCAAACGATTCCCACGTGGCTGGAAGGGTGCCGCGGTGGCGAGATGTTAACTCGCTCGCACGGTATGCAGGAGGTCGTGGGTTCTATCCCGCTCCTGGCGCCTGTATTATTCGGAGTTTGCGTGTCTCTCGCCCCCGTGGTCACGTGAATTCTTCCGCGGGTTCTACGTTTTTTTTCTCTCCACATTTAGAATCGACGTGCGTTCAGGGTATTTGGCTGCTCAAAATGTTCACGGGATGAGCCACTTCCGGTTGAGCTTTCATTTGTGGCCAGGTCGCTTCTGAAAAAAACACATCTCTGGAGCTCATTGGGGCCTTAGCTGGTAAAATAAAACAAATAGTTTGTTGTTTAAAGAGAGCGGAACGTGGGACGCGATGCCGAGCGTGGCGCACTTCAACCCGCCCATACTGGACATCCGTGAAAAAGAGATTCATAGCTCATCGGATTTCTCTAGTCTAAATAAAGATTTAGATTCCGATTCCGGAAACAAACATCAGAGAGCCAAGCGAAGGTGGCGTTTTTTTGCTTTCACGGCCGTCGCTTCGGGGCACAAGCCGCCGTCACACCGTTTGTGCCGGCACAAAGATTGTAACGCGGTGATGAAGGTTTTCTGAAAAATGCACGCTTCCTAAACACAAATTTCCCCCCCAAAAAATAGTTAAAAATCGTGTATGTGTATAAATAATATCGCGCGCGTGTGGTGTGTGCGCGCGTGTATGTATGTGTGTGCTGCTTGTCTAAGCGGAGATTTAACTCGCCACGCTGTATTTTAGAAAGTGTCTCGGTCGTGAGTGTCGGGGATGGGGGAGGGGTGAAACTTGTTCACCGATCTGATTGACTCAAACAATGAAAACACATTGGACAATCAATGAAGCGCTTGGATAATTGTGGACACGAGGCATTGAAAGTTAAAGGTTTGTCCCGTGACTTTTTCTAAACAGGTATGTTTTTTTTTATAGATTTGTATTTTCGTGACTGCATGGATCCATACTCCTTGGTTTTTTCGGTAAAGTCACGTAGGTAAAGAATATAAAAATATAAAATAAATTAGAATGAAAACAAAGAAATTTATTGTTTTATTTATTTATTTTCATTCTAATTTATGTTGTATCTTAATATATTTGTTTACCTACGTGACTTTACAAAAAAAAAAACAAAGAGTAGGTATGTTTTTCGCAGCCGCTCGTAAAATCCGAGTGTGGTCTCTTCCGGATCCGGCCCCGTGTTCAGAATTGTCTTCTGAAGCTTTTTCCATGTGCTACTGCGGGTGGGCGGGCGGTGGTGGTGGCGCCACACCTCTGATCCAGCACTGTGGAGGCGAGAGAGTTGGTGGATCACTCAAAGATGTTGTGAAATTTCCATGCCTGTGTGTGTCGAGGAGGTGCCCGTACCCTGGCTTGCCAGGAGAAAAGTGGATAGAGCAAAGTGTGGACTAATCTCCCGTTTGTTCCACCTGGATGGGATTGAGTGTTGTGCCCCCCCCCCCCTGTTCCCCCTCGTACACGTGGGTTCTCTTCCCCGCACGTTAATGGGCGCCGCGGTGATGAGATGTTAACTACCCCGCCTGGTATGCAGGAAGTCGTGGGTTCGATCCTGACCCTGACGCCTGTATATTTGGAGTTTTCATCTCTCCGTGACCGCGTGAATTTTCCTCCGGGTCATTCCGGTTTTTCCCTCCACGTTTTAAAATCAACATGCGTTTAGAGTATTTTGATGCTATACATTTCCACATGATAAGCCACTTCATTCAGCTCTCATTTGTGGCCAGGTCAAACATCGCAGTCTAGGACCACAGAGCTTTGGCAATTATTGGGGCCAGGCTCATCTGTGGTTTCCCTCGACCTCGATTGCCGAACAATGTTCAGCGCCGTTGCAAATTTGCAACGTTAGATTAGTACAACATTGTCGTTGACTTTGCTGTGATCGTATCCAGGAGTTGAGAAGAGGGGAGTCCCCAATCTGTTGTCTCTAGCCTTGTATGACCGCCCCAAACCCGGACGGGGTCGCACCTGGGCCCTGTGACTGGATCACTTGACGGTCGTTGGCTCTTTGTTTTCTCCACGAGGCTTTGGTGGCATTACCCATGTCGGATGTAATTACGCAGAGCAGTGCCCAGCTACCCAGGCATGCATAACAGTGAATACTAAAGCCATTTTTAACAACCGCAGCAGTGACGATGCGAAATAGAAAAAAAACGAGTAAGCATTAAGTGGCTTACGATAATTTCAGAGTGCCGTCTATTTCGGCTTTGCGTGACGTTTTGCATCGTCATGTTGCCGCTTGATTTTTACTTTTTGTGCGTTTTTTTGTCGCTTTGTTCGTGAGCACCGTTACATTTCTTGCGGCGTTTTGATTCTCTGCGGCTTGGAACGCGTGGCGTGCTACGGTTAATTCCGCGTGGTGATGTGAGCTGGGGTTGCCACCTCCGTAGGTACAAAAAACCGGAATATATCGTGGGAATAAGAGTATCTCACGATGCCTGAATCGGGGGGTGGGGGGGGAAGGGGATAGCTACACTTAAATGCACGGTCTTGAGTGGTGCATTAATATTATTGCGCAACTTGACAACAACTAGGACGGTTAATGTCCCTGGGAGGACTCGCAGATTTATCGAGGGTGGCTCGCTCAGAGTGGGGACAATCCTGGGGAAAGCCGGAGAAGGGAGGGGGGAGGAAACCCTCGCCCGCAGGAGAAGCATAACCCTGGCTTCGCTGTATCGAAGAGCATTGTTCCCCCCATTGTCCCCCCCCATTGTTCCCCCCATTGTTCCCCCCATTGTTCCCCCCATTGTTCCCCCCATCGCCATCCCGGCACGGCGTGTTTTCCCAGCGCGTCAAACGCAGGGGGTTTCCTTAATCGAACCGAAAAAAATCCGATACGAAACAATTTATTTCTTTACAATGCTGGTGGTGCACGTGCACAATTAATAACAGCAGGGGGCGAACGCGTTCCTCAGTAACGCTGCCATGAAGGGAAGCGAAGAGAGTCGGCGACGTTTCGGGCAACAATCCCTTTCTTCACGAGGATAAGGAATTGGTATTTATTGGGCGCTCAAATGCTCCAGCATCTCAAAACACCTTGCATCACATGGCATTTCTCGATCATTCCAGTGCCCTGGTGTAGTTTTTAATATTTTACTCAAGCCTGCTATCTATAAAGCTGGCCAGAGATAGAGGTTTATCTTTAAAGGGGGGGGGGGGGGGGCAGCGTTGTTGACGAATGCGTTGTGCGATTGGACGCCACACGCACCCACCGCCCAGGTTGTCGATGGTGACGATGCAAAAAGGTTTTCCCCCATTGGTATTTTAAACGCCGGTGTGAATTCCCAAATCTCACTCGAGATTGTCTGCGTTGCACCTGGCCAGAGTCTTATTTTGTTTTCGCCGAGATGAGAACTCAGGAGATCAGAATTGGGGTGGGGGGGGGGTCCTCATTTGCGAGAGTACGTGTGTACGTATGTTGAACTTCTTTCGCGCCGTACTTGGCCAACCGTGCTAATCAGAGGTGCGGGGGGGGAAGGACAACAAACTAATACACAAAAAGAGGGACTGACCCCTGGGTGACCAAAATGATTAAAAGCAAAATAAAGTACAGCAGTGAAGGAAATGGAATGAGAGCAGAGCCGACAAAAGTTAGTTTTTAGCCTGCAAACCAGAGCTTGAATATGGTTAAAGGGATGCATAGATTCAGTTATTGTGACCTGTGGAATCATTTGGTCTGCTGTCCTTCCCCCCCCCCCCCCCCCCCCCTTAAGCGGTCATTGAAAATTAAGGATTGCGTTGAGCTTCCCAGATGACAGATCATCGAGGATTTAAGTCGTCACTTTCTGGGAATTTTTGTGATTTTTTGCACTGATGTAATTTTTTGTTCTTTGCCTAGTTAATTTTTTACTCGCCGCACGCCTCTATTAAGTCGACGAAAACACATGTTTATGTGTTTACGCCTTTCCATTGTAACCTCTTTACTTTTAGCCTCTCAAATGTTTCTGTTAAATCGTTCCAGCTTACAGGCTCTTTCCGCGAAACGTTTTGTACGATTATTATCGAGTTCGTCAGAAATTTGCCGCTTTAACAAGTTTGACGCCGTTTTTCGCGAGTGGCCCGGTCCAATTCCCCTTCGTTGTGCGTGCACGTGATCGCTATTGTTCCGTTCTTCGTTTTTTTCACGATTGCAATTCATGGCCCTTCCTCTTCAGCACGCGCGCGGCTTGCGTACACCGCTGGGCTTTGCTTCTGGGCGGCAGTGGGGTGGGGGAGGGGCATCTTCTGGTGCCCCCCCCCCCGAGCTCCTGTCGCTTGGCTCACCCGGGAGGGCACTGAAGCCGTTGGCCTCCAGCGCTTACGTGGCCGTCGGTAACGTCTGGCCGCGGTAAAAAAATAAAAAATATAAAAAAGAAAAGAGGTGAAACATGTGAGCGAGGTGACCGGGTGGCCGGCTGGCTCAGAGGTCAGAGCGTCGAGTTGCCATCGCTAGGTGATCCTGGGTTGGATTCCAGGCACAGCTGCCTGCGAATTCGACCGAGTGCTCAGAGTGTAATCGAGTTGATGGTCTAAGCCCGGTCACCAATGACCACACACACACACAAAAAAAAATCCCACCGACTGTTTACTAAATTCTGGCCAAATTTCGTACTGAGAGTTAAAAACATCCGAATTTGACTGTCATGTGAATAGCACTGCTAGGCCCTAGCAGAGTGGATGGGAAAGTGCTGTCTCCTACTGTGTGGAGCAAAGGTAGCTTAGAAAGGGATCTCTGGGGTGGCTCCATGGCATCCACTTCTGTGGGCTGTTTTCTTTGCGCGGAAGGGTTTTTCGACAGTGCGAGAGATCGGATTAAAAATATATATTTTGTATCATGACATGGCAAAAACAAATATGGCCTTGCTTAAAGTTGACATTACACGAAAAAAATCGACTCCCCCAATTAATGAGACGGGGCAAAACACTGCAGTAGCTAAGGATTTAGGCTTTCTCGTGATTATATTTAACGATCGATGTTTTTTTGTCTTCGTTTGCCACGGTGACGAATCAAGCGCCTCCAGTGGATGAAGGGTTGAGGGTCAGCCAACTGCAACTTGCACACATCGGCCGTTGGATTTATCATGCCAGACCTGGGAGTCGAATCCCGTTTCAATTCCGAAAGAAACGGTGAGCGGAAAAGATTTGTTTTTGTTACAATGACATACCGTGGTTGCGAATCGCTCGCACAAATTACAATGGGAACCGACCCCCAGGTCTGTCTCGCACGCACAATTCGACGCTTGTATCGCAAGCCAGCGAATTGATTTTAATCGCCGAATCGACGGCATCCACCGTTTGAATCCTCCTGGAGGGAAGTTATTTCCACGTTAAAAAAAAAATCTGTACGGCGAGTCCTCGTTCAACGTGCTGGTAGCAGATGCCTTGCTGAAAAGTGCCACGCTAAGGGGAAAAAAAACACATTCGGCGAAAACAATTTCCCCCAAAAAATGATGCAACGATCAAGTTTGGCGAGATAAACAATGTTAGCACACAACGCAGTGAGACTGCGGGACAAATACCTGATGGTACGCCGCCGCGTTACTGTGTCATTTCGCGTACCGTATCACCCTGCCGCCCAGCCGCAGAGCTCAAAAAAGTAGTTCGTCGTCGACCGCTCAAAAACCGTGTTGTAATGACACGTTATAACGGGAGGCGCATTCAGCGTTATAACGGGAGGGGGGAGGCGCGTTCAGCGTTATAACGGGAGGGGGGAGGCGCGTTCAGCGTTATAACGGGAGGGGGGAGGCGCGTTCAGCGTTATAACGGGAGGGGGGAGGCGCGTTCAGCGTTATAACGGGAGGGGGGAGGCGCGTTCAGCGTTATAACGGGAGGGGGGAGGCGCGTTCAGCGTTATAACGGGAGGGGGGAGGCGCGTTCAGCGTTATGCGAAAAGTCTTCCCGAATGAAAGCGCAACAGCGTTGCAGAAAAAAACGCCGCGTGAACACCACGCGTTAAGCGAGGACACGCCATACAAACTTTGGGTTTTCCCGCTAGCAGTTGCGCGGCTCCCAAACCAGTGTAAC